GGGGGGGATCATAGGGGAGATGACACTAGTGGGAGCTGCTGTAGAGTTGTTGGCATAGTGTCTTCGGAGGGTCAGTAGCCTAATAAACTTATTAAGATCTTTAAAGAGAGTAAATGGGTCTGGTTTAGTGTCCGGGGCAAAGTTTAGATCTTTTTGGAGTAGTGATAGTTCACTGGAAGTGAGGTTATGTTTGGACAGGTTGAAAATTTTTATTGTTGTGGTGGTGTTTTTTGTATTCTTACAACTTCTTTCTTTGGCATTTTTGCTATTTTCCCCCCTCTGGTTCCTCTTCTGGTTTTTTTCTTTTTGTTTTCGGGGTGTGAAGTGGGCCTACCCCTAAAAAAGACGTATTTGGGGGGCGTGGCTTGGCAATGGCCGTGTGAGCAGTGTTCCCAGTGAGCTCCCGGCCCGACTATACCACACAAAGCTAACAGCCTTCATCTCTCCGCAACTGGCACAATGAAAAAGAAGGGGAAAGGGAGGGGATCCCAGTTCACCCCCAAAACTGCCTTTAAAAGGCTCTTTGTCTCCCCGAGCCACCTCTCTGATGAGCGGCCTCCACGAGTGCGCCTGCGGCCTTCCGGCGCCCGCGAAGCCTCCACGCCGACCGGCCTAGATTATGAGGCGGCCACCTCCGATGCAGACTCTTCATCCCCGATCGGTATGGGGACCCACCCGATCCGACGCCTGGAAGGGAGGCAGGGGAACCGGGCCGATCGCTCGCCAGACGCCTCCCCATCATGGCTAGACACACCAGGGAAGCCCAGGGCGCAGCAGCGGCGGCGATCACAAGGCTGCGATGACGTCAGCGGCTCTGCAGAGACGGAGCCCCGGGTCCCGACCGGAGACCGGACTCCCATGACACGTCCAGGAGGTGAGGAGCTCCAGATGTCTCTCCCCCCCCGGCCACACCGGGATCTGACACCTCAGCTGCCCTCCACATCAAAGGGAATCATGGACTGGTCTGTCCCCCCAGGCACAGACACTGCCAACAACTCCAGGGACTCATGGGGGTCTGATCCCACACTGCCATCCCCACAGAACTCCACGACAGAGGTCCCTGAACTATCTTGCGCTCCTGGGATCCTGAGTGATGACCTGAGACGCCTTATCAGTGCGCTTCCCACTAAGGCAGACCTGGCGTCCACCTTCCCCACTAAGGCTGACTTTGACGCTTTTGCTACCCGTATTGAAACTGCCTACAAGCAAGACCTGGCCGAAGTTAAACAGGAACTCTCCTCCATTGCCTCCCAGGTGGCATCCGTGGAGCAGACGCAAGCTGACCTGCTCCATAGGGTCACTGCCCTAGAAATTGATCAATCCACTTCTCAACAACAGCTCTCTAACACTATCCTTCACCTAGACGATCTAGATAATCGGGGCAGGCGGAATAACGTACGCATCCGGGGGCTCCCTGAATCTACGGGCCCCGCGGACCTCCGAGCTACTGTCCGAGACATTTTTAATCTCTACCTGGACAACCCTCCTGGTACGCCCATTGAGATTGACAGGGCACACAGATCTTTAGGCCCCAGACCGCAGGATCCGAACAGGCCGAGAGATGTAGTATGCAGAATTCATTTCTTTGCTGCCAAAGACGACATCATGCAATGTGCGTGGCGCAAAGGGACGCTGGATTTTGATGGGGCAACTATCCAACTTTTCCCAGATCTCTCCAGACGTACCCTCCTCATGAGGCGACTGCTAAAGCCGCTACTGGACACTGTGCGGCGCTCAGGGGCCACTTATAGATGGGGATTCCCGTTTCACCTCGTGATTAGGAAACAGGAGATGACATTTACACTGAAGACCCCTGCAGATCTGCCTGCTCTGTTTGCCTTCTTGGAGACGGAGAGAGTTGAGGTACCAGACTGGCTTCTCCCTTCCTTGGAGCTGACGGGACCCCGTACCCGAAACCGAGACGGTCCCTCACGGAATAATACTACCCCCCGCCACCCCCGCCCCTATGACGGGGCACCGGACGGCCCACGCAACGGGCGCCGCAGAGATGGAATTCGCGCAGGGCCCCCGACTACACGCGAGGCCTGACTCTACCCGCCACAGTAACGTTTCTGAGCTGGGATACCACTTCGACATCCACCCCCGAGTAACACGCTGTATCCTAATGCACTGCATATGCCCCCCCCTTTTTTCTTTTTTTTTGTCCTGATCTCTCCAGGATCTGCGAGCTATGGACGTTGAACTGGTCGCTGTGGACTGCTTTACACTACCGAACTACCACCGGGGTCTCCTGATGCTGCTCCGCCTGGACCTTCTGGTAACAGGGGTTAGCCCCCGGCCTCCCTTCCCGCTTCGGTCTCCAGTATCTTGAGGCTTGATAAAGAGGCAACCCCTCGAAACGCGTAGCCACTGGAGACACCCGATACTTTTGTACCCCTATGACCACAGCCCGACTGCCAGCACTGACACGCGGCGCACGGGGTCACTCAGCCGCACGTAGCTCCTCCCCCCTTGCTGTCTGCTCTTGACGGACGCGGCTCGGCCCGGCCAGTCGAGTTTGTGGACGGTCAAACAGATGCACATCCATTCC